TCAGAAGAGAAACTGAGGCTGGGGTCGTGCTCCAGGATGGACAAGTGAGGGCCCAACAATCTCCTTAGTAATGGCCTTCAGGAGTGTCTTGCTGTTTGAGATAATTTTACAAGGCTGGGTGCTATTTGGTGGACTTGAGCCATAGCGCACACATGTAATCCCAGTACTGGAGAGGCTGAGGCAGAAGAATCATGAGTTCCAGGCAAGATACATAGTGAGAGCCTATTTAAAAACAAACAAACAAAAAACAGCTGGGCGCCGTTGGTTCACACCTGTAATCCTAGCTGCTCAGGAGGCTGAGATGTGAGGGTCACAGTTCAAAGCCAGCCCAGGCAGGAAAAGCCCATGAAACTCTTATCTCCAATAAACTGCCAGAAAACCAGAAGTGGCGCTGTGGCTGAAGTGGTAGAGCACTTACCTTGAGCTGAAGAGCTCAGGGACAGCACCAGGCCCAGAGTTCAAGGCCCATGACTGACAAAAAAAAAATACCCTACAAAGTTGGGCACTGGTGGCTCATGCCTATAATCCTAGTACTCAGGAGGTTGAGATAGGTGAATCACAGTTCAAAACCAGCCCAAACAGGACAGTCTGTGAGACTCTTATCTTAAAAAAAATGCTAGGGCCATTGGCTCACACTTGTAATCCTAGCTAATCAGGAGGCTGAGATCTGAGAATCATAGTTCAAAGCCAGCCTGGGCAGGAAATTCTGTGAGACCCCTATCTCCAATTAGACATCAGAAAACCAGAAGTGGTGCTGTAAATGTGCTTGGTGGCAGAGTGCTTGCCTAGCATGCATGAAGCCCTGGGTTCCATTCCTCAGTACCACATAAACAGAAAAGACCAGAAGTGGTGTTGTGGCTCAAGTGGTAGAGTGCTAGCCTTGAGCAAAAGAAGCTCAGGGACAGTGCCCAGCTCCTGAATTCAAGCCCCAGGACTGGCAAAAGAAAAAAAAAAAGTACTCTTTAGCCAGGTGCTGGTGACTCATGCCTGTAATCCTAGCTATTCAGGAGGCTGAGATCTGAGGATCATGATTTGAAGCTAGTGTGAGCCCAGCCTCAGTTTCCCTTCTGAGTGATGCCCATCTTGCTATCCAGAGACTTTGGCAGGCAGGAGAGGAGCATGATCCAGCCCTGTGGTGGCTCCTGGCATGTTCCCAGCACTGAAGAAGCTAGTCTCCTTGAGACTGCAATTATCCAGTCAAAAACTAGAAGTAGAACTGTGGCTCAAGTGGTAGAGTGCTAGCCTTGAGCACAAAGAGGCTCAGGGACAGTGCCCAGACTCTGAGTTCAAGCCTCAGGACTGGCAAAAAAAAAAAAAAATCCAACTCTTGTTCTGAAGCCCAGTTTGTCCTGGCAGCAGGGACAATGCTCAGTGCGGGGTCCCTCCTGCTCTACGGCCACCTCTTGTGATTCCTTCTTGGAAATCCCCATATCTGACTAACTCTGTAGACATCCTCTGATTTGGCAGACTCCTGAAGAATCTGAGATGGTTAGACGTACCCTGACCCAGGCAAACTGCCCCCATTTCAGACAAAATTACTCACAGAGACCTCATGGTTTTCTGAAGTGGACATGATGCAGCAAGGATTGCAATCACACTTTTCTTCATCTTATTAGTGACTTGGAGTCAGCTCCGGGACCCTTTTGCACCTCAGTTTTCTTCCTTAGGAAATGAAGGCAACACTGGTTCCTAGCTGAGAGGGTCACCATGGGAGCAGGGCAGGCTTTGAGAGAGTGTGAGACTCCATCTGAACCACTTGTGGCACTGTGGTTAGAGGGGCCCAATGTGAGGGGACTGACTAGGGGCCAGTGTTTTCATTTCTCATGGAACCTTGAAAATTGTATGGCTCACTCTGTTTGGGAGGAAATGACAAATGCGACTGGACACTATCCATGTCCCAAATGTGTGTGTGTGTGTGTATAACAAAGCTGGATATAACTGCTTTTCATTAACTTTCAAAAAGAGTTTCAACATAACATGTACAAGACCTTGGGTTTGATTCCCTAGTACTGTGAAAGAAAGAAGAAAGAAAGGAAAAAGAAGGAAAGAAAGAAAGGCAGGCAGGCCAGTTGTTGGTGACTCATGTCTGTAATCCTAACTACTCAGGAGGCTGAGATCTGGGGATCACAGTTCAAAACCAGTCCAAGCAGGAAATCTGTGAGACACTTATCTCCAATTATCCCCAAAAACCATAAGTAGAGTTGTGGCTTAAGTGGTAGAGCGCTAGCCTTAAGAAAAGAGCTTAGGCCGGGCGCTGGTGGCTCACGCCTGTAATCCTAGCTACTCAGGAGGCTGAGATCTAAGGATCGAGCTTCAAAGCCAGCCCGGGCAGGAGAGACCATGAGACTCCTATCTCCAATAAACCACCAGAAAACCGGAAGTGGCGCTGTAGCTCAAGTGGTAGAGGCTCGCCTTGAGCTGAAGAGCTGAGGGACAGCGCCAAGACCCAGAGTTCAAGCCCCATGGCGGACCAAAAAAGAAAAAAAGAAAAGAGCTTAGGAACAGTGTCCAAGCTCCGAGTTCAAGCCCTATGACCAACAAAAAATAGAAAAAGAGAGAGATGGGGAGAGAGGGAGGGAAGAAGGAAGGAAGGAAAGAAGGAAGGAAGGAATAGAAAGGGAGGGGGGAGAAAGGGAGACAGGGAAAGAAAAAGAGAGAAAAGGAGAAAGGGAGGGGCTAGGAATGTGGCTTAGTGGTAGAGTGCTTGACTAGCATGAATGAAGCCCTGGGTTTGATTCTTCAGTACTACCTAAACAGAAAAAGCCAGAAGTGGCACTGTGGCTCAAGTGGTAGAGTGCTAGCCTTGAGCAAAAGAAGCTAAGAGACAGTGCCCAGGCCCTGGGTTTGATTACTTAGTACCACATAAACAGAAAAAGCCAGAAGTGGCACTGTGGCTCAAGTGTTGAATGCTAACCTTGAGCTCAAGGACAGTGCCTAGGACCTGAGTTCAAACCCCAGGACTGGCAATACAAAACAAAAAACAAAGGAGAAAGGAAGGAATGAACGAATGAATGAACTGGTGGCTCATGCTTGTAATCCTAACTACTCAGGAGGCTGCGATTTTAGGTTTGAAGCCAGCCCAGATAGGAAAGTCCAATTAACTAGCAAAAGGCCATAAATGGAACTGTGCTCAAGTTCAGAGTGCCAGCCTTGAGCAAAGCAGCTAAGAGACAGCATCCAGGCCCTAAATTCAAGCCTCAGAAAAGAGACTACCCACGCTTGGGTTTCAGGCTTGATCATGTCTGGTACTGGCTCTTTTTTTCTTTTAATTTACTTTTTTTTTTTGGCTGGTCATGAGTCCTGAACTCTAGGCCTGCGCACTGTCCCTCAGCTTTTCAGCTCAAGGCTAGTGCTCTACCACTTGAGCCACAGCGCCATTTCCAGGTTTTTCTGCTTATGTGGTGCTGAAGAATTGAACCCAGGGCCTCATGCATTTGAGGCAAGCACTCTACCACTGAGTTCCCCCCACTTTTTTTTTTTTTTTTGTTCTTGGTCATGGGGCCTGAACTTGGCCTGGGTGCTGTCCCTCAGCTCTTCAGCTTAAGGTAAGCACTCTGCCACTTGAGCCACAGTGCCACTTCCAGGTTTTTCTGCTTATGTGGTGCTGAGGAATTGAACCTAGGGCCTCATACAGGCAAGGCAAACATGCTACCACTAAGCCACCTTCCCAGCCCCTACTTAATGTTATTATAGAAGTGATGTACAGAGGGATTACAATTATGTGAGTCAGGTAATGAGTACATTTCCTTTTGTACAGTGTCTTCTGTTCTCGTTTGACGCTGGCTCTTTCATAACTAAGACAGCGGGCTTCCTGAGGGCAAGAGAAAGAACAGTATCTTCTTGGGGCACTGGCTTTTCTTAGCCCAAGGTTAGATAGAGAACAGCATGTTAAAGTCCAATTCAGTCAGCACCAATGGCTCATGCTGTAATCCTAGCTACTCAGGAGGCTGAGATGTGAGGATTGCCTTTGGAGCCAGGCCAGGCAAGAGACCTGAGTCTCTCATAGGTAATTGTTTAGGAAAAAGCTAGAAATGAGGCTGTGCTCAAGTGGTAGAATACCAGCCTTGAGTGAAAAAGCTAAGGGGCAGTGCCCAGGTCTTGAGTTCAAGCCACCCCACCCTCACCCTCAGGGGGAAAAAAAAAAAGGTTTATTCAGGGATTGGAATAGGGGCAGAAGAGCTGGGTCCATGTAATGTGGTCAGGCAACTCAGTTGGGAAGGGGTTGGTACCTCCTACACTGGATCTGCCTGAACTGGTCCTGCCCACCCCACTGGGTCTAATGGGCTAAAGCACAGAACATTGCCCTGAGGCACCTTCTTTGGCTTCCTTAACAGAATTCTACTCTCTATCTTGCAATAAGGCAAATCCTGACAGTTCATTGGGTGGTTGCAAGTGAGGGACCCAGAGATCCAACGGCCATGTCTGAAAGGACCCTTGGGTGACGACCCCAGGGTATTATGGGACCTTCATGTGTGTCTTCATGTTGGGGAGCCTCAGGACTATATTCCGGGAGGGAAACATCGCAGTACAGGGCCTTGAACTTTCAGGAGAGAGCAGGGAAGGATGCAAGGATAGGCTAGGCTAGGGTAACTGGTTTGGGGTCAGAGTGAGTGTGCAAAGGCATGGAGGGAGACTGAGGAAGGGGAAACGGAATCACACTGCAAAGTAGGGCCAAGTTCATCTACGTGTCCCAAAGAAGGAAAATGAGGACTGAGGATGCTTGCCTTAGCATGCATGAAGCCCTGGGTTCAATTCTCAGTACTACATAAACAGAGAAAGCCGGAACTGGCGCTAGGGCTCCTAGCCTTGAACAAAAGAAGCTCAGGGACAGTGCCCAGGCCCTGAGTTCAAGCTCCAGGGCTGGCAAAAAAAGAAACAGGCTGAGCGCAAAACCACGGCGTGTGCAGGAGCGCGCGGAGTCCCGCCTCCGGGAGACCACGCCCCCGCCCCGCCCCCTCACGGCATAAGCCGGAAGTGCGCGGGGCTTCCAAGATGGCGGCCCAAACCCGGAAGTGAGCGGCGGCTGCCGAGAGGCTCGGAACGACTGAGGCGCCGCAGGTTTCGTCGCCAGCCGCACCCGGGCTCGAGGTGAGGCGTCCGGCGGCGACCCCCTCCCCGGCGCTGTCTGGACTTTCCCCCTGCCAGGCCTCGGTGCGCTTTGCTTCACCTGGGCCTTGCGCTCCTCGCCGCCGGCCGCGTCCCGAGACAGGTTCCGGCTCCTCGGGATGGGGGTTCCGGGACCGCGCGGCGGGGGCGAGCGCGGCTAAGACCCCGGCCCGCCCCGCCCTCCGCAGGCCTTGGCCCCGCCCCGCGCCGCGACCCCCGCCCTCCGCCGCCAACCTTTACCCCTGCCTCCTGCCGCGACCTCCTCGGTGGCGAACTCTGATCCCGCCCTCCGCCGCGACCCCCTCCTGAGTGAACTCTGACCCTGCCTGGCTTTGGACCCCCCCCCCACCGCGCTGTCCTCCTCAAGAATTGATCCCTCGCTCCGCCGTTATCCCCGTTCCAATAGTGAACTGCGGCTTTCCCTCCGCCGTGCCCCCCGCAAACCTCCCTTCGCCCGGTTGACCTCAGCCTTCCCGAGACCCCTCAACTTTTCATTCCTTCCACCTCTGCTTTTTTCGGTGACTTCTATCTCACGTTCCTTATTGACTCCCGGCCTTTTTTTTTTTTTCTGATGACCAACCTTGGACTGTACCGAGACTCCCCTCCGTCCCCCCCCTCCCCCATGACCCAGAGCTTGCTTTTCACTGAGAGTCTCTGATCTCTCCTTGGGAAGGGAGTACATACTCCATCCATCTTTGCTCTCCTAACCTCTGATCTCTTGTTCAGTGATCTTTGACCCCAGGTTGCTTGGGGGGTCTCCTGTCTCCCTTCTGCCCAGTCCTGGAGTACAGCTCTCCTCTAGGGTCCCCTCTTCTGTGGGCTTCCACTTCCCCAGCCCTCCAGAAGGGACAGAGATGCCTCTTGGCTGAGTTTCTGGGGGCAGTGGGTCACCCAGGTTGGTGGGAACTCACTGGTGTTAGTCAGGCCTGTGCCGTCCTCTGTATGGGATAGGAGTGTGGCAGGAGTCACATCAAAACTGGGATTCCAGTGATCGCCCTGGGAGGGCAAGGGACAGAGGCATAGAGTTGGGTGGATCAGACAGGGGAGGCCTGCCTGGTGGGTCTGGCCACCACCTCAAATGCCTGGAAATGAGGCTCAGCTAAAATTGGGGAATGCTATGGAGTGTCAGCTAGAGTCTCCATGAGTCTAGAGGGCAGGGGAGCTGGGGTGTCTGCCTAGATGAAGTCATTAACATTTGGAAAATTAAAAACAAAGCAAAAAAAAAAAACAACAACCCAAAAACAACTGCCACCAACAAAAACCAAACCAACCTGAGTCTGTAAACTGTGATGGGACATTCCCTCATTCTGCTTCCTGGAATGCCTGTGGGTCCGCCCGCTGTGGGATGGGAATGTCCTTCCTGCCTGGGGACATTTGGTGCCATCTGTTGTATCCTGTGAGTGGCGAGTGCCTGTGTTGGTGCTTGCTGACAGTTCAGAGGGCAGTGTTTTCCAATGTGGTAAAGGGGATCAATGTTGGGCTGACTGGAGCTGAGGGCCTGCTGTCAGGTGAGGTGTCAGGTCCTGGAGCCTGGTGAATAGATGGGGGTCAGATCACAGTGGGAGTTTAGCAAGGGTTGTGGAACAAACGGCCCCTGCCTATGAAGGGTATGGAAATTCCAGAGAGGTCCCAAGGGACATTGCCTTTTGGCTTCAAAAGAGTGACAGCGAACTGTCCAAGCCAAGCCCTTCCTGCCAGCATATAGCCAGACCCTGCCCTGACTTTCCCTCCCTCTTTCTGCCCCCGGGGATTGTACTGCCCAGGCTTAGCTTCACTGTGTCAGGGGGCTAGATCCCTGGCTGACTCTCTCATCCCAAGCACCATCTTGATCAGCAGTTTCCTGGTTGTCCTCATGCTGTATTTTCCCAGGGGAGGGCCCCCAGAGGTGGGGCACCAGTACTGTTTGCCCTGGGTGCCTTCAAAGGCCTTTTGTGAGCTTTAGACCGGTGGTAGGTTGGACTGAGGAAAGCAGGGGGTGGTCTTGAGCCTCCTGGCAGGGTGGGTATAATTGAAGTTGGGGGAGGGTGCTTTGATTCATTTGTGATCCTTGCAGATTTCCTCTCACCTGCTCTCACCTGCCTAGAACTGCTGGGAGAAGGGCTGTGGCAGACAGGGGTGTGGCAAGCCCTGGGGGCCCAGACAGCCGACCATCAGCTTTGGAATCTGAGCAGGTCTGGCTGGAGGTGGGGGTAGGCATACAGGAGAATGTCCTATGTTCTTCCAGCCTGGTGGGGAAACTGAGGCCCAGAGAGCCTATGCCTGGCCAGTGTTAGCCATAGCCTGGAGGTTTGTCCCTGCACCCCCTGGGTGGGTGTGAACAGCTCAGCTTGGTTCTGGCTTCAGTTCCAGCTATGTCACAGACACCCCTCCAGCAAGTCTGGCAGGAAACACTGACCCAGGGAGAGAATAAAGAGGCAACTGTGTAGAAAAAGGGGCCCAGTCTTGGTTGCCTCCCCCAGAGGCCCCTCATCAAGGGTGGGATAGGCCACTTTTCCATGATTGGGGGTGTGATATAATCTGAAAGTGTCAGCATATGGGGAGGCTATCCCAGTGGAGTATGTGGAGGAAGTCCCTCTCCCATCGCCCCAGGATTTGTGAGGCACACATGCACACACGTTTGTATGGCTGCATGCACATTTTGTGTGTGTGTAGACTTACACGAAGGAATCAGAGTCATATATATATATACACTGGGTGCATATGTGTGCACCCTTGCATGTGTGTGTCTGTCATGTAGGCAAGTATGTTGCCCTTGTATGTGTGTGTACAAGGCTTGGAGAAGCTCCAGCAACTTTCCACAACTGAGTGCTTTGTGGTGAGACAGCACATGGGGAGAGCTGGGGTGTGGCCAACCACTGCGCAACCTGAGGGCAAGGTCACCCAGACCCTCTGGTCCTAGCTGCCCCTACTCCCAGCTGGCTGTGTGGGTTCACCCATTTTGCCCCTTGGATCTGAATTACCCCTTCCAGAGTCCTGCTTCTGTGGCCTAATTGGCTTAGATTGAAGAGTGGACTTTCTCAGGGTCACTGCCTATGGTGACTGCTTTCTCTTTGGGTCACCTTGCTTCTCTACCTGGGAAGTATGGTCACCTGCCCCTGGGGCTGTAGCTCAGGTAAGGGCAGAGCCAGAACCCCAGAAGAGACTGGGATTTGGAGTGCCCATCACTTGTGTGCTTTGGGCTTGCTGGACCTTGTCACAGGGAAAAGATTAGATCACTGTTTATCTACAATGCCCTGGGTGCACTTGGAAAATATGATACCCAGTAGAACTAGACACAGAAGGCCCCACAATGTGGGACTTCATTGATAGGAAACATACAGAACTATTAAATCTAGACACAGGGTGCTATGTTATAGTAGCTGGGGAAGGGATAGGATAGCTGCTCATGGGGCTTCCTTTTTGGGGGTGATGTGATATTCTAGAATTAGAGGGGATGTATACTCACAACATACTGATACCAGTGAGTTGTAAAATCTATGCAGGTGAATTTTTTTTCCCCTCAAGGCTAGTGCTCTACCACGTGATTGACAATCTCACTTCTGGCTTTGTGTGTGTGTGTGTGTGTGTGTGTGTGTGCGCGTGCCTGTGCACGTGCATGCGTGCACGTGCGTGCACATGTGTGTGCATGAGATTTGGAATAAGAGTCTCACAGACTTTTTTTCCTGCCTGGGCTGGCTTCAAATAGCAGTCCTCAGATCTCAGCATCCTGAGTAGCTAGGACTACAGGCAGCCACCAGCACCTGGCTATAGGTGAATTTCTTTCTTTCTTTTTTTTGGGGGTCCGGTCGTGGGCCTGAACTCTGGGCCTGGGCGCTGTCCCTCAGCTCTTCAGCTTCTAGTGCTCTACCACTTGAGCCACAGCACCACTTCTGGCTTTTTTTTTTTTTTTGCTTATGTGGTGCTGAGGAATCAAACCCAGGGCCTCATGCATGCAAGGCAAGCGCTCTACCACTGAGCCACATTCCCAGCCCCGAAAGCCCATTTGTTGAAATGTTAAAATATACAGGGTTGAGAATGGACCATAAGCCTAAACCTATAGCCAGCTCCCAGCCCGTGAGTTTCTTAGTGTGTGGATTACACCTTTGAAAACAAGGCCTATCCAGGCCTTCCAAAGCCCACTTTTTTTTTTTTTTTGCCAGTCCTGAGGCTTGAACTCAGGGCCTGGGCACTGACCATGAGATGCTTTTGCTCAAAGCTAGCACTCTACCACTTGAGTCACAGCGCCACTTCCAGCTTTTTCTGGGTATGTGGTAGTGACGAATCAAACCCAGGGCTTCGTGCATGCTAGGCAAGCACTCTACCACTGAGCCACATTCCCAGCCCCCAAAGCCCATTTGTTGAAATGTTAAAATATACAGGGTTGAGAATGGACCATAAGCCTAAACCTATAGCCAGCTCCTACCAGGAGTGTGTGTCCTGAGGTCCCAGCCAGAGAGCAGAAGTGGTGCTACCTCTAACTCCAGCCCTTAGCATAGCTCTGCCCAGGAAGATTCTTCCTAGGCAAAGGTCTGATAGGAAGTGCCCTGAGGGGAATTTGGACTTCTGCTGAAGGGGCATCCTTGGGCTGTGTGTGTAGATGCAGGTGTGGCTCAGAGGGTGCTGGGTGGCTCTTCTGAGATATCCATTTAGTGGCTTCTCCCTAAAAGTCCATCCTGGGTGAGGCAGTGGTGTGGGCTGCACATGCCCTGCCCTGGCTCTCCTGTGGACTTCCTGAGGTCTCTGTTTTTCTGATGACAGGTTCTCAGAGTCCTTAGAGGCCAAGCCTACATCTGTAGAGGAAGCCAGCAGGAAAATGTCCTATATAGCATAGATGTTGCCCACTAGACCCCCAGTGCTGGTATTGCTGCTGAGGCTCTGGGAACAGCTAGGAGGCCCTATCTGTTGTATGACTTGGGGAGATGGTACAGTGGAGAGGCACTACTTGGCTCTTCTGTAGTGCATGGAGTGCAGGGGGAAAATTGGGGTAGACCCCATATTCCTGG